ATGACACCCTGGATCACCAGTGATCTGAAGAATCTGCTAAATGAGAAAAAAAAGAGCCTTCAAGGAGGGAGACAGGGAATTACTGAGGAGTATACAGAAGCAACTGAAGATCAAGATCAGAGACATCAAGGAGGCATACAGGAAGAAGCTGGAGAACAACCTACAGAGGAACAATATCAGAGATGTCTGGTCAGGGATGAAGAAGATCACAGGCTTCAAGCAGAGGAAGGATTGCACAGATGGCAGCCTGGACACAGCCAATGAACTGAACAAGTTCTTCAATAGGTTCAGTTCAGGAACAAACCCAGCATCCTCCTCGCCAGTCCCCAGCCAATCAGACATCCCGTCCTCCTCTGATCCAACATTTTCCTGTCACATGCCAGCTCTTTTGTCCTCTAACGCAGTCATGGACTCTTCTGGTTCTATAAATCTGTCTTCAACCAAGTCAGGAGATGCTGCGGCCCCATTTACCTCCCCCCTCCCACCTATCTGTCTCTAGAAGTCAGGTGAAGAGGCAGCTGGAGAGACTGAACAGGAACAAGGCTGCAGGTCCAGATGGCGTCAGCCCCAGAGTACTAAAGGCCTGTGCAGAGCAGCTCTGTGGGATTCTGCAGCACCTCTTCAACCTCAGCCTGGCCCAGGAGATGGTTCCAGTCCTGTGGAAGACATCCTGCCTTGTTCCAGTTCCAAAGAAAACTCGCCCATCAGTCAGTGACGACTACAGACCGGTTGCCCTGACATCCCACATCATGAAGGTCCTGGAGAGACTCCTGTTGGTCCACCTGAATAAGCAAACTAGAACATATCAGGACCCGCTGCAGTTTGCTTATCACCATGGAGTTGGAGTTGAAGATGCCATCATCTAGCTGCTTCAACCAACCCACTGTGATCTGGAGAAAGCAGGCAGCACTGTCATGGTCATGTTCTTTGATTTCTCCAGTGCATTTACACTGACCGCTACTGGAGATCCTTCCTGTCAACAGCCATTGTAATATACAATAACTCTTTGATGACTTGATTATTATTATTATCCTGAGCTACTACAGCAATCAATTTCCCTCTGGGATTAATAAAGTATTTTTGAATTGAATTGAATTGAACTGAATTTAACACAATCCAGCCTGATGTACTTTGCCAGAAACTCCAGAAGACACAGGTGGGGGCCTCAACTATCACCTGGATTAAAGACTACCTGACAAACAGACCACAGTTTGTGAGGCTGAAGAACTGCACATCAAACCAGGCGATCAGTAACATTGGAGCACCACAGGGGATTGTACTCTCACCATTCCTTTTCACCCTGTACACCTCAGACTTCCAGTACAAATCAGAGACCTGTCATCTACAGAAATACTCAGATGACTCTGCAGTTGTCGGGTGTATCAGAGATGGACAGGAAGCTGAGTACAGAGAGCTGGTGGAGCGCTTTGTGGCATGGTGTGGAAACAATCATCTTATCCTGAACGTGAACAAAACAAAGGAGATGATTTTATACTTCAGAAGAAACAGGGTGGAGTCAAACACTGTTTCCATCATGGGAGAAGAAGTGGAGGTGGTTGAGGAATACAAATACCTTGGAGTTCACCTGGACAACAGACTGGACTGGAGAAAGAACAGCGAAGCCGTTTACAAGAAGGGACACAGCAGACTGCACTTCTTGAGGACGCAGGTCCTTCAGTGTCTGTAGCAAGATGCTGCAGATCTTCTACAAGTCTGTTGTTGAGAGTGTAATCTCTTCAGCCATCGTCTGTTGGGGTAGCAGCATCAGAAGCAGGGACCTGAAAAGGCTCAACAGCCTAATAAAAAAGGCTGGTTCTGTTCTGGGGACGACTGTGGAACCACTGGAGGAGATAATGCAAAGAAGGATTCTCCAGAGAATCAAGAAAATGATGGACAACCCTGAGCATTCTCTTCACAAGACTGTCCGACAACGGAAGAGTGTCTTCAGTCAGAGGCTTCTTCAGTTTCGCTGCAACACTGACCGCTACTGGAGATCCTTCCTGCCAACAGCCATTGTAATATACAATAACTATTTGATGACTTGATTATTATTATTATTCTGAGCTACTACAGCAATCAATTTCCCTCTAGGATTAATAAAGTATTTTTGAATTGAATTGAATTTGAATTTGCAGTGTTAGTTTACAGTAGAAATTCATTTTTAATTTTTTTTAATTTTTCTAGTCTGTTTCCATCACAATTAAGGTAATATACCAGAGAATGTCATTACTATTATTTTATTTTATTTACTTTATGCCAGAGAGAAATAAAATGAACCAGACAGACGTGGAAATATCCTCACAGCTGTAGGTGTGTTTAGGTTTAATAAATAAAACTCTGATTACAAAGACAAAAACATGGAGAGATGACACCACGCCTCTAAAAAGCTGCTCGTCTCTCAGTGCTGGCAAATCACATTTATTGTTGTGTTGTTGGCACTTGAGATGAACTTGCTGTGATTTATTAGGTGTCAAAATGTGTGTGCATGCATGCGTGCATGTGTGTGTGTGTATTCTGGGACAAGTGATAACACACACATGAGATGTAAGTGGGTTTTGTAATTAGTTTGTTTAATAACTCGCCTCTCATTCACACACACTTGTCTTTACAAAACAAAAATTATAATTTTCTGTCTGGTGCTAGAGCGCACACACACACACACACACACACACACACACACCGATCTGTTTAATTTAAATTTGCCAGATTATAGTAATTATGTTAAAAGATTTTCCAGAGTGCTTTGCCCTTTTTGTGTCCTTGACAACTGAAACAACACCGACTGAGAGATGAACAAGTTCCTTTTTGATTGAATTTTACTTTTTATGCTGCCTTTTAGTCGTTCATCAAGACAGGAAGGCATTTGCAACAATCAGGGGTGTGAAGAACCATAAAGTTTATCTTTTTGCATCATTTTATGACAACAAAGATCTCTCGAATCTAAAAATCTGTGTTAGCATAAACTAAACTTTAAATAAAAACGTAGACCTGTTGATTTTTGTTGAATAATAGTAATTTAAATTGTGTGTGTGTGTGTGTGTGTGTGTGTGTGTGTGTGTGTGTGTGTGTGTGTGTGTGTGTGTGTGTGTGTGTGTGTGTGTGTGTGTGTGTGTGTGTGTGTGTGTGTGTGTGTGTGTGTGTGTGTGTGTGTGTGCGTGCGTGCGTGCGTGTGTGATGCTTGGAGTTGGAGTGATCTCTTAATATTCAAAACACTGTTTTTGTGTAAATGCAGCAGCTTCCTTCTGGGTGTGGAAACACTTAACTGTTCTTGAGATGAAGACGTAGACCAGGAGACATTCCTGATGGTTTGTGTCAGGAGCTTTGGGTGTTGTCTCCATTGTCTGAAGACGAGGAGGAGGGGGGTCTATGGAACATCCTGACAGCTTGTCGAAGCCCTCCTACGACTGTTATGAATTTCAGTCTTTTGTTGTGTGTGGTCCCACAGCGCTGTTGAGCTCTTGCACTAATTTGGTTAAACAAGGGGAAGAGTGTTTGGGTGTGTGTTGGATGGTACACAGTCAGTTCCTGTAAAACGCTCGCTCGTGTTAACCATTATGAAGTTAAACCAAGTTTTGGGGGAAACGGAGCTTCTTGTTTTCACCGTAATGGTTTTCTTTGCATGTTTGAAGTAACTATTGGGATGGTTTGTTGGATTATCATTAATATATCGCCATAAAGTCCGTTACTGATGCTGTAAAACTGTAGGAGAATGTACTTTTCTGGTTTCATCACATATGCAGTATTTTGAGCCAGATTTCACCTAGCATGTCGCCACCTGCTGTACCGGAGTGGAACACACTCCAGTTTCCCAACACACATGAAAACTGGGAAAAAGGCTTCAAGTTTAACAGTACATGGACTTAGACTGTTTGTGTTTGATTATGAATACATTTGCTTCTAATCAAGCTAAAACTGGTATTTTTAACATTTTCAGACATTATCTAGGTGCTAATGAGATGTGAAAAGGATCAGTGTGATGTTTCCTCACTTCTAGCATCTCCTTCAGGCCTTCGAGGCATTTTAAATATTAAGATGTCCCTCAACATACTTTGTGGAGGTAAATTTTCCATTTATGTGGAGCTGGATGGAGAAGATATGAAGCTAGAAAACAAGATTATGACTTTTTGTGAACTTTTTCTTTAAAACTTTTGATTCTTGTATTGATCTATGTCACTTCTCATTATTTTGCCTAGCTAAAAACCATTAACAGGGAATCTTAGTTTTTGGTTTGCTCTCTGACCCAAGTTTATATGCCTTCATAAATTGAAGCGTACACACACACACACACACACACACACACACACACACACACACACACACACACACACACAGGCTGTTGTCAGGGATGGGACGTATCTCTGTTCCTTGTCGTCACACGCTTCAATTGAGCTTTAAATGTCACTTGTCTCTCCCTGCTTCATCTGTTTGACTCATCCTTGTTGTCTTCAGTCTGCATTTGAAGTGTGTGTGTGTGTGTGTGTGTGTGTGTGTGTGTGTGTGTGTGTGTGTGTGTGTGTGTGTGTGTGTGTGTGTGTGTGTGTGTGTGTGTGTCACACTGACATGCTGTGCTGTGTGAGCGTTTGATGGACACACTGCTGCTCTCCACCCTCTTTGTACGGCGCCTGCAAGCACAATGATGCCCTCTGCATTGATTTTCTTGTGCCATTTTATAATTATGTCCCCTCCTTTCATTCGCCTCCCCATCCGTCCTCTCTCTCTCTTATCCCCCCCCCCCCCCCACACACACACACACACTTCTATTTTTCTAATTCCATCCCCCAATTCCTTTTTATGCCTCACTGTGCCCATGCTTGTTATCTTAGCCCCTTTCTTTAATTTTTTCCCTATTTGATCTCAACTTCTTAATTTCCTTTCTCATTTACGTCACTCCAATCGGTTTTATTTTCCCATCTCTCTTTCCTTCTACATTTTAGATTGTTTTGTTCTCTCCTTTCACAGCTGTTTCTAATGTTTTGTCATTTTGTTTTGTTTTTCTACAGCCTCTCTGGAGTGCTCTCCGTCTTCTCCATAGTTTGATGGATCAGGCCTTTGACGACACACACACACACACACACACATCCAGACTACCCTCCATGGACCTGTCTCAGATCTTCACGCCACTTCAGGTCTCTGTCCTTGATTTCGCCAAAAACTCTCACACCGTCTCCTTCCACTGGAAACAAATCCCTCACTGCTTCCTGTGAATCTGACCAGTAGTTTCCACTGCAGCCACCGTTTCCAAACTTTACTTCCTTTATGCATCCAAATATTCCACAAAGATACGAGCTCTTACCGCGGTGTGGAAAACGGTTAAACACGAAGGACACTTTTGCACCATCGCTTCACTTCTTCCTCTTTAGGCTGAGACCTCCGGTATAATCATCATTCCTCAAACTTCCTGCCTCTCTGATTGTGGCATGCTAGCCTCTCCATCCCGGCACTTCAGTGTGTTTTCCTCTCTACGAACTCTGACGTTCTACTGAGGCTGGACTTCCATTTTCTTCCTCTTTTTCCCGGGACTGTATTCCAACCAACACAGAAGAGAGGCACATCCCACACGACTATTAGTGTTTGTCGTCTCTGTCGTTGTGTGAAATGGACCAATAAAAAGTGTTAGCCGGCACGTAGTGAAGTGCCCATACCTCCTCTCGCTTGTTGCCCTTTCTCCGTAGCCTTTCAGGTTGCAACTTTGGGCGTGGAACAACTGAACTGTGAAAACAGTGGAGGAAAGATAAAGAACGGACCTGGTGGGAAATCAGGTACTTGGATAAAGAAAAACAAGGGAAATGAAGCAGAAAAACGGCGTAAGAAGGAAATCCTCTGTGCTCTGAAAAGCTTGGGGGTTGTAGGTAAACTCATTTGACAAATCGAGAGAAAAGGATGAACCAGGAAACACTCTTTTTTCACTCTAATGAGGAGCGGAAAAGAAGAAAAGACATGAAAGTTGACAAAAGAAGAGCCGTTTTTCCATTCCCCGTCTCTTAACACTTTTGTCTGCTTTCCATCCCGATGCTTGAACCTATTTTTGGAAGAGTTGTACTCAAACGGTGTAGAAGTGCTGTGAGCAAAGACTTGTCATGCAAAAGTGTTATCTGTCACTCGTATCTGGAACAAACACCATTACTGTGTGGTGAGAAACTACAACCTCTGCTGTGTGTGTGGAAAATGGCCACTCATTGTTGATGTTCTAGGCATCTTAGAAGCACTGCGCCTGTAATGGAAGTGTAAATCGGACCTTCATCTTCACCACTAAATGTCTGTCGGTGTAAATACGTTATAAAACCTGTAGCCGGTATAATGACCTTTCAATGTCAGCCACCTATTTCAGCTTACCAGAGAGATGTGTATCAAGAGATCTTATCTGCTGATGTAGCATGAGCCGTTGTCACAGTAACAACATCCTTTCGTTTCCTGGATGGGAGCGTAGAGCAGCTTCTGCATTTAGAGGAGATGGAAAAAACACGGGTCGGCGTCAGATTTTAATCTGCGCTTTTGTTTAGATGGCGGCTGCAGCTTCATGCTCTGAAGAGAAGAGAGCGAATGGTATCGATCCAAGACGTAAACAGTTGGCCTTCCAAGATTTTTAATCCTCAAGGAGTGTGTGCATGTGTGTGCTGACAGTTACATGGAAGGGGAGTTGTTTGGGCTAAAACATGAGGGGTTATTTCACACTTGGTGGGAGATGCCATGTTTGTGTCCCTCTGTGTTACGAGCAGGAAGGGAAGGGACGAAGCTGCTGTTTGGATTGGAATTTCTCAGTTTCTTGATGTCAAGTCGGAAAACATTTAAAAAAAAACTGACTGGAAGGAGATTGAAATCAGTTTTTGTGTGTGCAGAAACCCACTTGACAGGAGATTCTGACAGTATGACTAAATGTTTTCAACAGATTCTGGGATTAAAGTGGCAATAAAAATTTCTGACGTTAGGTGAATCCCTACTGTAGCATCTGGAATTTAAACATACTTATCATGCAGGGACTGTTCACGTAATTCTGCTAACGGCTAGTCTGAGCACAGCCGAGACCAGAATGCATTGCTGCTGCATTCAAATGGGTCCATTAAAGAAAACCGTATTTCATCACTATGTTATTTTATTTTTATATCAGCACCAACTGTGATATTAGTTATGTAGTTATTTACTAGCATAAATATCACCATCTGCAAAAGTAGCTCTTTCAGTTTATCCCAGGCTCAAATCCAGGAGAATTCCTCCAAAAGAAAGCTCTGTAACGTTGTAATGAATTGTAAATTAACTTGTGATTAGAGTTAAGAAGGCAATAAAACACCTTGATCATGACTGAGCTCAGACTAGCACTTAGCTCATCAATCAATCAATCAATCAATCAATCAAATCAATCAAAGATACTTTATTAATCCCAGATGCACGTAAACCACGGGTGTCCAAATTTTCTAACAAGAACCAAAAACATCAAGTTTGTAGGTCACAAAAAAGTAATTAAAAAAGAGTTTACTTATATTTTTTCTTTTATGTTTACTACTAAAATGGTCATTAAATAAGTTTAAATCTGAATATAAAATGTAAAATGTTTGGATCTACTTTGACAGTCTGCTGGGGAGATAAAATGTCCCTGTTTTAGAAACGCACTTGGGGAGCCGCACTAAATCACTTGGAAGGCCACAAATGGCCCCAGGGCCACACTTTGGATATGCCTGGCTTAATTAAACTGTTTTAACTCTTTAAATCACCTCATCTGAGAATAGGTGTCACAAAATGTGCCGTGTAGTCTCTAATAAGCTAACTATCAATGCTTATATCCGCAATATGCTAACGATTATTTCCTTATTCTGTTTTGTTTAATAGCTAATGATTAGTTACTGACTGGAAGTTTGTTACATATGAAGTCTAAAAGCAACAAATCAGAGATTAGTTTATCAATTGTTTAATTTCTAGTTTAACAAAATAGAAATTTCAATATACCACACAAGAATTATTAGCTTAACAGATTATTAGCCTAGGAGTTTTTTTTCCTTCATTTACAAGTTAATAGTGCCCTTTTCCCTTTAGAGACACCAACTGGCCTAATCCCAATTCTCGTACGTCGCCCTACGGGCTTCTGTGAAGTGCACAAGTACACAAGTGTGGTCAATTGGGACAGGACCATTGCATCATTGACTGCAACGCATACTGGTCGCTGTTTGTGCAACTTTTGAAAAAATCTTTATTAACAACTTTCAAACAAACAATTATTTGACAAAATGTACATTAATTACTGGCCAAATTAAACCTTAATCTAAACATCCATATCGTTTATTGTCCTAAAATAAACTTCATTTGAAAGTAAAGGAGACTTGAACCATTGCTCTGGCTTCTTCTCAAAACTCCCACACAGCAATGAATCGTGGGTAATACTCTTGCCTGAAGTCCGCATTGATGCGGACTTGGGCGAAGTGTGTATCAACGGTGCAAAGGGGGCATGGCCACCTTCCGGATTTAAGGATCGGTACACCCTACGCACTCACACCCCTGGACGGGAACGGGCAGTTCATGGGCGCAGGGGTGGAAGTGAAAGTATTGGGATTGGGCCACCGTTAGGATGACAAGTGCAGGATGTAGTACTTCACTACTAGTGCCAAATAACATATTTCTGTATGGGGAAAATAATCTGCCTGACAGAATTAGAAACTTTTAATAGCCGACAAGTCACAGATGGTCCTGAATAAACCATCTAATGGCCTGGCGCTATGTATTATCAATCTAGTCATGTAGAAGCTCCTTTCCTCCCGGAACTACAACTGTTGTAGAGTCAATCAGAACTAAAAGCTTGAGATTGCCACTTTAACCTCATATTGAAGTAATTGTGCCAAAAGGGTAAAGCGTGAAAAAGAAGCGAGGTAACAGCTTAGCTCAGCGTAAAGCCTAGAAATGGGATGAGAAGCAACAAGCATTGGGTAATTATGTCAATTGCACTTTATTCTACTGTTTTTAATTTTTTCACGTAAGGTCAGCAGCTGGGAAATCCACTTAGACGCACAGCTAAAGATCTATGATCCTTTCAGAGAATAACAAACCTGAATATGTGCTGACTTGACACACAAGGCCAATGTTTCCCTTCTGACAGTAAGCCGACAACTGTTGGTGTTACTGATGTATTTATGTGGATTTTTGTTTTGGTTGGTCAGTGAATGTGTACCTGGACATGATTAAAATCTGTGAACTTGGAGCCTCTAAAAGATGATTTTTAAGTGAAGTGGCTCTTAAACCCCGCCTTTCCACGAAGCATACGCTGCTAATGACCGCTGTTAAAGTCTGTGGGAGTGTTTCCACCGGCCAAGAAATGTCTTCTAAATTTTTAGATTGAGCCAGACAGGAAGTGAAAGATAGAATCAGTATAAAGCAACTTTCAAATTAAAAGGCACGTGCAGATTTCCTTGTGTTTACCTAGTAAAAAAAAAAAAAAACTTATGTGATGCGTCCAAAAGCGGAGCAGAAAATAAACCACAGACCTTTTGGTTACATGCCACCCTTTTTCTCATGGTCTTACAATTCCCGGGATTTCATGACCTTTCGGGACCAGCTGCGTGGAACACTTCCACTTCTGGTTCACGTCTAAAATGTTCCCAGTGGAAACACGTCTGTTACATTACACTCCGCTTACGCCTACTGCGGGCAATCCTGGTCCTCGAGGGCCACTATCCCACATGTTTTACTGTTTTCCCTGTTTCAACACACCTGATTTCAATCAGCAGGAGATTAGCTGGCTTCTGCAGCTTGATGAGCTGCAGAATCAACTGTGTTGGAACTGGGAAATAACAAAAAGATGGAGGATACCGGCCCTCGAGGACTGGAGTTGCCCACCCCTGGCTTACGCATTTGATGGAAAGCCCAGGTAAGTCACCTCGAGTTAAATTTAGTTTGTGAAATGTACAGAAGCCTCAAAGGTAAAGGGAATCATTTAATTGTATCTTTAAAAACAATAATTTTTATTCTTTTCAGTTTTTTTTGCTTTTTTTATATCTGAAGGGCAACTGCAAACATTTTTTTTGTTATATTTTACCATTTATTACTTGAAAAAAGACTTAAAACGTTTTTTTCCCAACGTGTTTGTGAGACAGGAAAAAAAGAAAATGTAGGAAAATGAAAAAAAAAATCTTTCTTTGCCTTTTGGGGCTTCCATAAGTTTTCTTTCTCCCAAAGAGAAATTTCTTTTAATGATTTTGCACAGAGAATTGTATTCACCAGTATTCTTCTGCACAACACATCTCAGTGTTGAACTTTGGTTACTTTCATCATGATATGCAGCTTCACAATTAGCCAGGTTGTCAGCGGGACGTTATCGATCTTCCCCAATACTCTGCAGAATGTTTGTTCTCTACTAAGGGAATAAATTAGGGGAATAGATCTTCCTTCAGTAGCACAACAGGAGCTTAGTCACGGTGTTCCTGCCTCCGACATTCAGGTCTAACCAGCTCCTGATGTAGTTGTTGAGCCAAGGTGTCCGGGAGCTTGCCAAACTGGCTGATTCTATAGTCTCCTAAAACCCTCAGACATTTGGCACCAACGCACACACACAAAACTTACGGTTACACAAAGGAGGGCCAGAACAAACCTTGTATGTTATTGCACAAGATGTGACTCAGACTGGCGCACAAATGGACCCCGTGTGACATTTTACAAACTCACAACACAGTTTTTAATAAAACATCAGTCAGTTGTAGCTATGCATAAACACATGTAGATGTGTAACACCTCAAACACAATTTAAACAACAAAAAAGTAATGTTATGTCTGTTTACAGCACGTTTTAGGTTGTGTTTTTTTTTGGTATGAAGCATGTGAAAAGCTCTGCTTCCCATCAATCAACATTTAAGGTGCCTAATGAAGGATGTTAATGATGATATTGATATGTTGATGAGTATATATAATAAAGTCATTAATCTTGATATGCTCTGTCTCCTGTGTTTATTTTCTGACTTGTTCTAGGGTCAAACGTGGATCAAAAGTAAGATGGGCGTGTCTCCATCTTTAGGAAGTCAGGATGCGGGTCTGAGAATCCTCTTGCCCAAATGGGTTCTCATTAAGTCGATCGATCAATATTAAAATGAATATTGAAATAAAGTATTAGGTGGGAGAGGGGTTCCTTGAAGGAAACATCTGACGCGGGACAAGTGCCTCCCTTGATGTGGAGTTTTTGAGCAGGCCGTGTCGCCGGGGAGAGGTTGGCGAGGGGGGATTAAGAGGAGGACAAGCGTGAGGGATGAAGAGAAAAAGAGAGATGACAGAAAATCGCTCACAGCATGTCCCTGTCGAGACTTGAAGCAAACTTCGCCTGGAAAAGATTCCCAAAGTGTGTGTGTGTGTGTGTGTGTGTGTGTGTGTGTGTGTGTGTGTGTGTGTGTGTGTGTGTGTGTGTGTGTGTGTGTGTGTGTGTGTGTGTGTGTGTGTGTGTGTGTGTGTGTGTGTGTGTGTGTGTGTCCCCGTGCTTGTGTTTTCTCTTGTAGTTGTGTTGCTCTGATTCCATCCATCACTCATTCTGTGTGCCAGCGTTTGAGAATCTATGTGCTCTCTTATCTATTTTTTCCCTCTCCAGCTATCAATTTATTGCTTCATGGTTTTTAGCCGTGACGATTTTTATCTTCCTTCAAAAGTTGCCGTTTGCCTCCCTCTCCTCTGCCTCTGCATCGTCCTTTTAACACTTTGCTTCCCTCGTCTTCCTCTGCCTCATCCACGTCGAGTACAAACAGGGTGACTATGAATTAAACATCTGAGACAGTGTGCACGCTGAGATCCTTTGGAGTGTCAGGATGAGCGCTGGTTCTGGAGAATGGGGGGGGGGGGGGTGCCATGGCCACACACCGCGAGTGTTTGTCTCTAAGTGTGTGTGCTGTGCTCAGTGCTTGACGTCGTATCACACGGAGCAGCGGGAGTCATCACATCTGATCTCCTTCATGTATTATCACGGAAACGAGGAAGGAGCAGCCCTTAATATGATAGTTCAGATCTTTTAAAGTGGAAAGGTGTTGAAGAATTAATATTTTACCTGCAGGAGATCAGCCTGATTGATATGCCAACGACTAGGCCAGACAGGGCATCAAAGCTATTTGAGGGAAAACTAGTTCATGTAGAATGGAAGGTAACCTGTCGGTACACTGGTCCTCTGGTTCTATCCTCATCAGGTGGTGTGGTATTTTTTGTCAGAATGCCTCCTGGAAGTGTTTCAACAATCTTCTGCTGGCAGGAATCTCCTGGTCAACCCAGAACATGCTAAAGGGTTTAACTCCACGAAGCATTAAGCAGTGGAGTTGGTAGAGGTTGCTGGGAAAAGGGCGGCGCTACCCCCTTGACCTGAACCCACTTAGGTGGACGAAAATGGACGAATGTCCAAACAAGACCAAAACGAGTCTGTGTTTCTCCAAACTGAGGTTAGTCTTTGAGCTGCTTACAACATGTAAGAATTTAATTGCTCATAACCTTTCCTCAAAACTTCACTTCAAAAGACCTGAACCGTCATGCGTCACGTTTTTATTCGTGTTCTTTGCATCCTCAGTTGTCTCCTCTATTATCTCTTCTTTATTTCAACTTTTTGTTGCTTTTGATCAGTTTGTGTTTTATCTTTGTTTCCTTTCATCCGTACCCCACCCCCTCTTTTCTTTGTTTATTATTTTATTCCCCCCCACCCTCCCACGATCCTGTCAGTATAGCTGGTGTAGAAACCTCTCACAGCAGCTGATGTTGCTCCATGTGTCAAAGGCGAGACGACTGCGTGCATCAGAGCCTCTGTGCGCATCATTATCCGTACATGCATCTGTGTCAGCCGATGAAAACCCAAATATGTCTGTCATGGGTGTATCGTCACAAAGTTGCTGCACTTGTGTGAGCAGGCGTCCTCGGAGTAGCGAGGTTAAGCCGTCTTATCAAACGTTTTGTGTGTGTGTGTGTGTGTGTGGATTCAGTTGAGATCAAGCTAACATCACCCACTCCACTTTCTACCCTCTGGCTATGCTCTCATTTCAAACACCCGCTTTTCATCTGGTTTTATCGTGCCAGGTTCACCATGACCATTATCAGCACGGCAGAGGATAATCTGCACTCTGCTGCAGCAACATGTCAGAGTCTGAAGAGGTTTTATTCGGGTCAAGAATCCACGCACAGACCTTTTGAAAGAATGAGTCAGCCAGTCTTTACTCCTTCTGTCTCGGTTTGATTTTTTGTATGAAAAGATCATCTGTAATGTGTGAAATTAGCCTCCAGGCCTGGGAGAGATGAAGCCCGTCTCCAATGTTCAGAGCTACCGGGTCTTTCAGGTCTATGACCCTTATTCTGACTACATCTATCAGGTCATTAGACTTCAACCTTATGAGTTAAAGGTCTTGTATCAAGTTACGTAAAACCTACATCTACAGTCAGCTAACCGTAGTGAAGAATAATGTGGTCAGTGTTTGAGCTTTTTATTCTTTATTTTATTTAGAATTTAGTTCAGATTTGTTTATGAGTTTCTTTATATTTTATTGGCAGGTTTATTTTAGGCTAAGAATGATGAAACATGTCGCTTGTTTTTGAAAGTCAGCATGTAAGAGCTGTGGGACATTTTTTTTCTATAAGCGAAGCGGGGTGAATTGACAGGGAGATGAGGGGAGGAAGCCTCCCCATTGCCATAGGACCCCCCCCCCCCCCCCCCCATGCCCTTAAAATATACATAAACACACATACAGTACATACATATATGTATATATAATTTCATTTCAATGATACCGTCAAGCATTGTTGCCACCCTGCCCCTCATTTCGCCCCCACATAAAATATCTAGATCCACCACTGAAGGGATGGTACTTGAGCAGCATTCACCGAGGTCGGCATATGTTTTTGTTGCAGTTACACACACAAAAATAAACAATAATGAACAAGAGTCTGCTTCTAGACCTGCAGAAAGAGACAAGAAAAAGGCAAAAAACTAAACAAAAAAAGGGACACAACAACAATACAACAAGATCATGCTATCACTGCGTCAACCTGATGATGAAATATAAAATCAACATTGTTTAACTGAACAATCACACGATAATAAATCATAGTGCATTTAGTGGCAACGACAGCCTTGAGACATGTGTTGAACGTGCCCAAGCCCATACTTTTGAGAGCACCATGTGAGCACCTGTGTGTGTACACGCGCTTGTTTATGTAAGGTTTATCTATAGGAGCGTCCAATAGAGAGTGAGGGACCACAGATCCGCCCCCCAAAGATGTGTAAGAGACGGGGGGAGCTCCAAGTCCCAGAGATCCAGGCGCTGCCCCAGAGCACGGGAACCCCAAGGAGACTGCAACCAGAAAGGTCCCCGCCCCCCTCGAGAGGCACAGAGGATCGCCCCGGGGGGGCACAACCAGCAGCTGGCAGAGTCCCGGGAGATATCAGCGGCAAGCCCACAGGCCTGCCCGCAGCCTCCCACCCCTAGCCGACCGAGCTCAGGACCCAGCGATCCGGGACCCAGGGGCGACCACCCCCGCCGGGGACCCAGCAGAGCCCAGGGACCCAGACCCCACCAGGCAGCCACCGGGATAGATCAGGCAGATGCCAAAAATCTTAAACCCCCTGACCCGGGAGCCACGAACACTCAGGCAGACCAAGGCACCACGCTCCACACCAGGTGTGGCAGGGGAGGGGAGACGAAGATCTATTCTATATCATCAAAAGAAGTCCCAGGAGAGGGGAGGAGTCAAAGGCCCCACCTGACATACACAGTCACACATTCCCTCCCTCATGCTCACACGTGGACAAATTTTAAGTAAGTTGAATGTGTTTCAACAGTCAGATTTTCTGTTTTTGCTGCACTATTGGGCTTTTTTGCCTCATCGAAGGAATTTGAGATTTCTCACAAATGTTTCAGGACAGTTTGGAAGTTACCTCGAGAGTGTTGTCTACGCTTCAAATGCCAAACAATGAGATGTTCCCAAAGTTTTCTCACTTTTACCACACTTTCCTACTCAGAAACTGAACTGAAAAGACCCCCACATGTCCCTCTCTGGAGTATTTTTAGAGCAAATCCCATAATTTTCGAACTTCTAGACCTGCGAGGAAAATGAGAACCCTCCGAGATATTTAGCAAACTGTCTGTAAAATTGTTTTTTGCACAGTAAGATTTAGGCCTAGTCCACACGTAGCCGTTTTTTTTTAAACGAATATCCGCCCCTCCAAAAACTTGCATCCACACTACCTCATTTAAAAACAAAACTCTGTCCACACGTACCCGGATAAATACGTTGTTAAGGACATGCCAGACCTGTAGGTGGCAGTACTTCCCCCGTTCTTAACCTCTTCCTTCGTCTGTGGTCTTCCGCAAGGAGCAGTAATTCCGCTTGCAAAAACAAACAAGCAAAAAGCGCTTGGACAATTGATAAAGCGAGCGCAGCTCTGAGGGCATCCATGCTGTCGGCTAGTGTAAACACAGGTCGCACACGTGATGTCAGCATTTTTTTGTCGCGGAAAGTGACGTTGCGGACCTTAAAACACACGCAGACACCCAAAACGGAGAAAACGCAGATCTTCACTTTGGCCGGAGTTTTTAAAAAGATCAGTTTTCGTGTGGATGACAGGCCAAAACGTAGGAAAATATCTACGTTTTGGCAGATCCCCGGCTACGTGTGGACAGGGCCTTAGTTGCATTGTTTACAGTCTGAAAGTCTTCAATCCTCTTGTCTTAATATTTTGCTCATAAAGATCAAGAATTTCTGTTTTATGTTTTTTTTTATCAAGCCCCTCACTGATGTACGTTAAGCACAGTGACATCAAGCAAAGGCCGGGATTTCTACCAAGGTTTATGTCTCAGGAAGTGTCAATTAAATTTGTGAAACGCGGAGCAAAAAAAGAAAAATGATCGAGAACGTTTGTTCCCTGAGAATGTGAGCCTAGGGTTTTTTTTATTTTGAGATGCATCTGTGGAGGTGTGCT